CAGATCGTTACGAAAATAGGATACGCGACAAATATATGTAAACACTGCCGACCGGCCGCGAAAATCATAAACACCGAAACAGAATGAAATCAGTATAAAAGACAACGCGAAAACTTCAGAAGGAAGCAGTCTTCCGAGGCACTCCGTTGAGCAGAGCTAAGACTCCGACAGCAGCAGCTCCTCGCGAACATCGCTGTCTAGAGCTCCGCATCCTCCGCATCCTAGACATTCCTCGATACCGCTCTGCCGACTCGTTGGATTCGTAGAATCGACATCCGCGTAGACTTGTTGGATTCGTAAAGTCTACATTCTTGATTACCGCTACGTCGACTTATTGGACTCGTAAAGTTCACATTCCTCGATACCGCTCCGGCGACTTATTGGATTCGTAAAGTCGACATCCGCGTAGATTATCGGATACGTAAAGTCCACATCGTTGTTATTGCTCCGTCGAATATGGAGCATCGATATCCACGAAACCGTGCCGTCACCTCAGAGGACCGACATTCGCGGCACACCGCTGCATTGCTCGAGCGCTCGCCGAACTCCGACGTATCCCGACTCGCTGTCGCGTAACGCATTCGGAGCCGTATTTACTCGTCGAGTAACGGATCTCATCGCACAATCGAAAAATTAAAGACCCAAGCATCAACATCTCGCCGCAAGCGCGAGACAATCGACGCGTCATAATACCGCCCGCGTCCCGCGGCCGCCAGCGGCCCCAGCGTTACGAAATCAGTCAAGGCAAACGTCAACAGACTCGCACGACGAGCACAAAAACTCAAATATTAGATCAACGGCGTCGAGACAAGTTGTACATACTCATTGTAAATAGCCATTTCACGTAGAATAGACATCATCTTAATATCTACTCCACTGTCTTCACACTTATTTACTTCTGCCCGAATCCGGACCACACCGACTCGCAGCCTATCCCGCACCGAACGCAAAATAGCGTTACATAGGGTTACAAGTTTGCCGAGTTTTTTTTATTTGGTGAAGTGTTAGAATATTGGATGAAGGTTGAGTATATAGGGGTGTAGTTGCAAAATTATGTAAAATATAAAAATTGTGGGAATACAAAGTTTTAGATTTTCAATTGCATATATTTCGTAAATGGTGAGAGATACAGGGTTGTGATATAAGACCAAATGTGTAGGGCTTGAAGAGTACTACAAGTTTGCTTATATAGACCAACCTTGTATCTCTTATGTGAAAGGCAGAAAAGGGTGTCTGAATATTCAAGGTCGAATATCTCGTAAATGTGTGGTTCGTTTGCAAAGTGTCATAAGGCTTTTTTGTAGAGCTTGATGAGATCTACAAAAAAGTCTTATACCTCGTTGCAAACGGACCGATAGTTTTTGAGAAAAATAAGATTGAAATATTTTTGAAATTATTGCCCGTCTTCCAGAGAAGGAGTGGAAAGAGTGAAACTTGGATCGTATGTTGACACCAATAGTGAGTAGTCGATGAGTAATGCATTTTGGAAAAGCGATTTTTGCAATTTTTTTTTTTTTTATAATTTTTGAAAGTGGTATATCTCGTAAACGGGCGGTTTGTTAGGTTGTAACCGGACGTCGGTCCTGGCGAGAAGATGCAGGCTCGTGCGTCCTGTGCACGGGCTCGATTCTTACGAAATGTCTTGCGGTCGCCACCCGTCCTTCAATATCAACGCTGGTCTTCTCACAGGATGCCTGGATAACCGGGATGGACGGGAATCGCCGGGGCAGAGAACAACACCGTTTCGGAAGCACCAGGTTTATTATCTGGTCGCGGATTTGCCTCGTCGTCGTCGTCGTCGTCTTTTTCTGGAGAGTCGGCAA